ATGAAAGTATTTCAAAATATTTAGTTTAATTTTTTCAAAGAATGTTGAATTATTTTAAGTTTATGTTATTATTTATAAAATTTAAATTTTATTATTTATGTTTTATTTAAATAATGTTTATACTAGCTCAAAACAAGTTGTGGAACAGTTATATTTATCATTAAGAAACTTGTATTTGAAAATTATCAAAATGTTCGAACAAAAAGTCCTAATTTTTTTTATATATATATATATATAGCAAAAAGCTTTACAAATTTGCATATTCAAATGTAAATAACAAAACAATAACACAATGATCATAGTTAACAAGGTAATGAAAGTTTAAGTTATATGCAATATGCATCAATTGGTAAAAACCAAAATTGTTTTTAAGTCAAGTGAATTCTAAGAAATTTGCATGTGCAAAATACTAAATTAACATACAAAAGTAGTAAATATTATGTGATGCATCACTACAGACGTATATAGAACATTTCAAATATGAAATAAAGTTCAAAACAAGTAGTTTAAATGAAAAGTTAATATTAACACGAACCATCCAAAACATTAAGTTAAATTGTAATTATATTACAAACAAAATCTATGTTTATGTATCAAAATTCAAGTACAAAAGCTATATTATATCACAAATGTAATAATAAAGATTACAAACAACCAGACAAGACTACTATTATAGGTACAAAATGAAATGGATTGCATAAACCAAGTCCCTGTGCGCTGGCGTCAATTGTAATATTAAAAATATAAAAAAAAAAATGGTGACAAATGTAAAAGTTAAAAATAATAAATTTTTGAATGGGCAGGCCGAAATCAATTAAAAAAGAATACTCGGGCGCCAGGCCTGTACCATATTATTAAACCATATTAGCCGGGAAAACATTGGACTATTAATAGCAAGGGGAGTTTAACGCAAATCCATATTCATTTTGGGTTGTCAATTTTATTTAAATATGCTACAGAATTACTGGTCCGAAAGAATTACTGCTAAATTTTGAAACTAAGACTAAGATGTAAGTGAAAATGTTACCTTTAATATGGGGGGCCGATACACAATTATGAATTTCGAAAATTACCGACCTCGTTGCATCTTTGGAGTTAAATATGTCTGGTGTTGCACATGTTTAAGGGATGGCGGTTTTTACATCCCGTGGGTTCACCTCCCCATCACGGGAAATGTTGAAATTGGAATAAGAGATCCAAATAAAAAATCCAAGTAAAAAAAGAACGCTTTTCGCTGAAAACAAACATTCCTCAGATTAGCACATGGCTCACAACAAAGGAAAAAATGTAAAACTAAGGGAATCACTAAGGTTCTTACCGTTTTACAAACAAATTAAGCTTGGAATGAGGTCGTCCGCCATTCCGCGCAAACGGTGCAAAATGTTACATCTGTAAACAAAATCAATCCTCATGTAAATCATTGAAATATATGAATTAAAACACTTTTCGAATTTGGAAAAACACTTACCATTAAAAACAACTGACAATCTAATGAATTATCATGTTAAAAATTACGATTACGATTCTTACATGTTTTACGTAAAAATTTTGGTCGTGAAGTAAAGTGACAGTTTTTTTCTTAAGTTTGTTTTCTCTTGCCGGTAGGCAAAGAGAACAACGTCCATTCAGCCTACTGCTTGATAAAGTTAGCAACATAATTATTCAAAAGTGCACAGATTACAGAAAATGGGCGCGAGATAAAAACGACCAGAGAGACAACCAAAAAAATCTTCTATCTCGCTCTTCGAGCGAAGGAGATCCATGTAACGTTTTTAACACGTTACAGTGTCAACCATACTTAAGTAAACAAAGGTCAAATCTTTGCTGGAGGGTAGATTTTGACTTTTTGATCAATGTTTATATTTGTATGTGTTGTTAATTTATGTATGTTGGTATGTGTTTCTTCAATTCACTGATTGCAGTATAGCCAAGATTTTGGAAGGAGACTGCCTATCTTCTGCTGCCTATACTCTAGATACTTCCTTAGTCACATTATTTAACATCCACTTAGATTAAAACAAAACGGGATGGACGGCACTTGCGGGTCAAAAGTTGTGGTGCCTGACCACAATTTGCTTTAGTCATAATTCAACATTCAAACACGCTACATGGGCACTCAATATAGGGTGAAATTGAATGTTTTAATGAAACTTCGTGAGATTGTTGGATTACGTGTATAGCATTAATATTATTTCAATAAAGGCATCTAAGATGATTTTATTGTATTGTGTGGAATCAAAGGAGTCTGCTGAGCTCTGTGTACCTACCTACTCACTCAACGGCTGGCGGGCGCGGTCGGTCGTTGATCCGCGGTTAATTTTACTGTTTTTCAGTACTGTTCACTGGATATGTAAGTATGCTTATTTAAAATGAATAACTACTCAAAAAGAGGAAAGGACATAAAAATACACAAATAAAAAATAAATACATGAAAAAAAATACGCAAAAAAAAATCCGAAAAATTCAGAGGTACTCTATATACGTAACCCAACATTTCCACCAAGTTTCATTAAAACATTCAATTTCACCCATTGCTTATATTCTGTGTTATAATGATAAAATAATGCCATTTATAAAGAACACCAATAGTTCAAGATCAAATAACAAATGCTACAGCATCACTGTTCGTAAAACTATATTTTTTTTTTAACATCAGTTTGTCGTGAATTTTACTTCATCATTTGCCATTTGTTATCAAGAAAAGAACAACAATAAAGCTTAGCCATTTTAGTTGAGACAGAAAAGAACACGCAGTCGACTGCCAAGGAACGCGGACTCACGATTTGCTCAATTGAATGTTTTCTACAGAAGTGAGAATGCTTACGTAGTTGAACAAGAGCATATTTTGTTTAATTCTAGTATGAGCATACCATATCTTACCTTTTGGTTTTAATCTAAGAACATCCATGGCACTGTTGCTATTCTAGGCCTGTACACAAACGGCTACGGTATTTGATATTAGCAAAATCCCTGGTCCTGGTTGTTTTGAAACATTTTTAGGTCGGGGAAAAAGTTTCTTCGCATTTTATATGAAAATCCAATTTTTTTAATAAAGTTTATTTACATTTAACTAAAGTATGTGGGTGCCATTTTGTTTGATAACTTTTTGCCATCTTGTAAGTAGGGACATGATCTTATTGCTATAGAAATTTTGGGGCTTCTGATAAAAAAACCGCGACAAGTGGTTTTCGCAGCCCTCTCGTGATGTTAACTTGACACTGCCTAAGGAATTCAGAAGAGACCGAAACAGGTTGATATCTGAGGGTGCAAATTTTTTCTGAGTGGCTAAAGATGTGCGAGGTCTAGCGTTATCATGTTGAAAAACCCTACCCATTTTGTTGATTGATTCCGGCTGCTTGACCCCAACTTCTTCCTTTAATCTCATCAGTTGTTCACAGTACAGTTCTAAATTGATGGTCCAGCCTGTCGGTAACAGCTCATAATGAAAATTGCCCTTCCAATCTCATAATACATACAGCATCACCTTGTTGCGAGTTAACCCGGGTTTCGCCAGAGTCTGTGAGGTCTGACCGACCTTTCACCTTTTTACCACGTTGTTGTCGTACCTACGTGATCCACATTTCATCAGCAGTTATCAGCTTCTTCAAAAAATGGTTCGGTTTCATTACGTCGTTAAAAAGAATCTCAAATGAGCACACGGTTCATTTTATTTCTTTCAGTGAGTTCGTGAGGCAGGCACCCGAATGTCGATCTTTTTTGTGTACCCAGTTTTTTTAAGACGTGCCAAAACTATTGTGGGCTCTTCTAAACCTAGCAATAAGGTTCGTAGATTCTACCCAGCACTAATTTGGGTATCACCATAGGTAGTGTAAGTTTACTTATCTGTTGAAGAGGAGATAGATATCCTACGGGAATCGCTGCACACTACTACCACGAAAGTAAAACAGCAACTCACCTTCAGCAACCGCACTGACCCGCCACTACCCGGGTAATGTCACTGCAGACTTCTTCCTCAGCCTCAACAGCCACGACGATTTAGCGAGATAATGAAGGACCAGCCTCGGCTAATATCAGCCAAGACAGCGGATAATTTAGCGTTTACTTCACAACAGTGTATGTGTTAAGCACTAAAAAACACAGCACTATGTTCACAGCACGAGCGGTAGGTTCATAAAGAGTATAAACCCTAAGAATAGCAGTCTTTCGAATATAGAAAGTCCCAGAAAGCGGGAAAACCAAGATTAGCGAGTGCGCACCTGGTTCAGTCGCCGTCAATTCGTAGACTGTAGAATGCAGCGATATATCGAGCGGTAACTCTTATAAACTAAACGTGGGTAGAAATGAAAAGTTAAATCTATAAACTATGAATGCCTAAGGTTGGCATGAACAACTATTGAGGTCAATTCCCAGTTCTTCAGCTACTTCGTAACTACTGATATGCCGATCTTACATCCACTCTTTCAAAAAATGCCATCCATTTTATTCGTAACAGGGCGACCAGAGCGACGTGCATTTTTGACATCAAAATTTCCGGATTGAAAACGCTGAAACCAAATTTGTGCTACTCTCACACACACTGCACTAGGTCCATAAACATCACAATTTTTTTCGCGGCTTGCGTTGCATTTTTGAAGTGAAACTTCTTTATCGGCGTTGGAAAAAAAATTACCGTCACATTTTTATTCAGTTACGCGTCACGTTTTTTACCTTTTTTGTAGTTAAATTTTAAAATGTATCGAATTTCTCCATTAGATACTCATCTTGACAGTAAGAAAATCACACATTTTTCTAATTTGAATTTGGAAATGTCTTCATTAAAATTTAAACTTTAATGATACCAAAGCCAGCCAGATACAAATGGTATAGCCAAAGAGATTTTATTACAAGTTCATACATACTGTAGATTAAGTACTAGTTGATAAAAGTCTCTTTTTTATATTTCTATGCTACTTACCATGGTAAAATATGTGAACAGAAAAAAACAACTAATGCGAAAAGACTTCCCCAACGTTATTATATGATATTATTTTTTATTTTAGGACATTCCATTAGAAGAGGAAAAAATTGATCCAGATGTTCAAGTAATTTTAAAAGGTATTCCAGAGAGAAAACGACGTACCATCTTAAGGTGTGTATGCGGTATTGATCTGAGGGTGTCCGTGATGCTACCGTACACACGATCAATATACGGTTTTTCGTTATGCCATTAAAAACTGCGTAAATAGTGCCAAATTAGTGTAAAAATAAAAAAAATGGTCTTTATTTCTTAAAGTAAAGAGGCACTATTTTTACTGTGTACGCTAGCATGACGTCAAGCTAGCGTACCCATGGCCGTCCCCAAGAACGGCATATATTTAAGCAACGAAATTGACACACAAAAATAGTTCGCAAATAGTGCCCTTACTTTACAAAATTTCATAATCAATACTCTTAAAGTACCAAAGATATTGAACTAAACATTCTTAGCTGGCGTCTACCTGGCGTACCCATAACAGTTCTCATAGAAAATGAGGTTTTCTCGTTATCAATGCTATATGTATAAATAGTGTGTCAAATAGTGCCTCTAACAGTAAAAGTATTTTATGTGAATTAACACAACAATACTCAAAGAGGATGTTAAATTCTAGGAACAAATGTATTGTAGTACAGTTGCACACAAAATTAATTTATGCACTAAGAGACTCATTATAGTTAAAGTTTAAACAATTATTTTTTACATTTAAGAAAAATTGTTAGTACCTAAACAAAAGAGTGAGAATACTTACTCAACTGTTACTAAATATAATGTGATCATAAATATAAATATATTTTTATTAAAACAAATAGGTACGTACTTTTATTAAAATGTATTTTATTTCAATTCACCAATCATAAATTCATATAAGAATTTCAACCTACCTACCTACTAAGTACCTTACTTACCGACTATACTACGAAAATATTATCACTTCTGTACATGACTATACTTCATAGGTATATGAAAATAATTTAATTGCTTTTTTTATATTGTTTTACTGTGAATTCACATAAAATACTTTTACTGTTACAGGTACTATTTGACACACTATTTATACATATAGCATTGATAACGAGAAAAGTTAATTTTCTATGAGAACTATTATGGGTACGCCAGGTTGACGCCAGCTAAGAATGTTCAGTTCAATATGTTTGGTCCTTTAAGAGTATTGATTATGAAATTTTGTAAAGCCAGGGCACTATTTGCGAACTATTTTTGTGTGTCAATTTCGTTGCTTAAACATATGCCGTTCTTGGGGACGGCCATGGGTACGCTAGCTTGACGTCATGCTAGCGTAAACAGTAAAAATGGTCTTTATTTCTTAAATTAAAGAGGCACTATTTTTTTTATTTTTACACTAATTTGGCACTATTTACGCAATATTTAATGGCATAGGTAACGAAAAATCATATATTGATCGTGAGTACGCTAGCATCACGGACAAATCTGAGGGGCCAATTTTTTTGAATAGCATCTCTCAATCAGTTATTGATCAAACTATATTTTCTAATTACATTGTGTTTGACTATTCGTTTTGCAAAACGTCTTTTCCCCCTAGTAAACAATTTTTAAAACTGAACAAAAGCGTTGTAATGACACCACAATATGCAATTGTTTCGTGAGAGCCTGTGTGACATTTTCGCTTTTAGCAATTCTTTTTATTCGAGAAATTTCATTGTCACACTGATACTGAAGGGGCATAGCGTTAAAAAGTTAGGCAAATAACCCCATGGCTACTTATCTTTAACTTCTTTCAGGTTTATTAATAAACACCAGAATGGCCAACAGAAACTAACACCAGAGTTGAAATTGCAATGTGAGAAATTACTAAATGATTTTGACAAGGTCTCATTAGAGGATGAATTTGGTTTTTCCAGTGAAGACGATTGTGATAGTAGTGACAACGAGGAGCATTAATTTTTTTATAGATTGATATACTTGATAATATAACATGCTTTTATTTATAATCTAAGTTGTATGCTAATCCCAGTTGTCACCCCCAATAAAAATGAACATAAAGTTATATCTTAGCATTTCGAAAAAAAAATATTTAAAATTAACTCTAAATAGAAAACAATTAAATTGGAAATTTAACCCAAAGCACCAAATTCTAAATAGTAGCTGTGAAATTAGTAAGACCCTATTCTCAAATGGGAAATGAGCTGATGATCTTCAAACCTCTGAACAGATCTTCATAAATTATAGCTAAGAACCATCTTGATTGTTACCTTTCAATTAAAAATTACTGCATCCAAATCGGTCCATTCGTTTAGTAGCTACGATGTAAGAGACTGACACATAGATACTCAGACAGACACACAGACAAGTGAAACTTATAACACCCCTTTTTTCGTGTTAAAAAGATAAATATTTAGAGTGATTTACGAGAAAGAAAAGAGTTATAATACCTATTTATCTACATCTGACACATGAGATCCCTTGTATTTTGTTTACTTTGGAGTCATAATAGGTACACTTCCGTAACACATCATCATCATCAGCCTATAAATGACCCCACTGCTGGGGCACAGGCCTTCCCTTTGGATGGAATAGGGAGATTGGGCCATGACCCACCACGCGGGCCCAGTGCGGATTGGTGGGTGCTAACGACTGCAGATGCAGCTGGGACCAACGGCTTAACGTGCCTTCCGAAGCACGGAGGAGCTCGAGATAGTAATTTTTGGTCACCTATCCAATGACCGACCACTGCGAAATAGTACAATCTGTAGGTTGAGTGGTGAAAAAAAAACCTAAAGGGTAAGTCTTGTTTTTTCTGTTGCCAAATGACGTCAGTAAGCCACCTTGGCGTTGGGCATGTTCAACTCGTAGGCGTTTTTTGAAATACTCAAAAAAACCTTCAAAAATTTTTTGAAACGCATTTTTCTTGTTTTGTATGCATTTTAGAAACATTTTTTTCGACCATAATTGTAGAAGGCGTTGAGTACTACAATTTATGTCATTGTTGCAATCTCGTACCACAAAAAATGCGCATTGTAGGTGGCGCTAAAGTCTCAAAAAAGTGTTTTTTCACTTTTTCACCCTGAAAATATCATTTTAATGGAAAACTTTAAATGGAAAAGTTGTTCCCTACATAATTACCAACAACTTTTGTATAAACAATTTTTTTGTATTACTTACTGTTTTCAAGTTATAAATTGCGCAGGTATGAAAAATCCAATAGAGCGGTTTTGGGCAGTTCAAGTACACATTTGCAGTGGACATTTCAATGTACGTTTTACTATTTTTTATCTTTTTTCATGATTGAAAAAATAAAAATAAAAAAAATAATAGTATAAACGTACATTGAAATGTGCACTGCAAATATGAACTTGAACTGCCCAAAAACCGCTCTACTGGATTTTTCGTAACTGCTCAATTTATAACTTGAAAACGGTAAGTAATACAAAAAAAATTGTTTATACAAAAGTTAAAATATTTTTTTTCATCATTGAAAAAAGAATAAAATAAAAAAAAGTAGTATAAACGTACATTGAAATGTGCACTGCAAATGTGTACTTGAACTGCCCAAAAACCGCTCTATTGGATTTTTCATACCTGCGCAATTTATAACTTGAAAACGGTAAGTAATACAAAAAAAATGTTTATACAAAAGTTGTTGGTAATTATGTACGGAACAACTTTTCCATTTAAAGTTTTCCATTAAAATGATATTTTCAGGATGAAAAAGTGAAAAAACACTTTTTTGAGACTTTAGCGCCACCTACAATGCGCATTTTTTGTTGTATAAGATTGCAACAATGACATAAATTGTAGTACTCAACGCCCTCTACAATTATGGTTGAAAAAAAAGTTTCTAAAATGCATACAAAACAAGAAAAATGCGATTCAAAAAATTTTTGAGCGTTTTTTTGAGTTTTTCAAAAAACGCCTACGAGTTGAACATGCCCATCACCAAGGTGGCTTACTGACGTCATTTGGCAACAGAAAAAACAAGACTTACCCTTTAGGTTTTTTTTTCACTGAAACGATTGTAACAGAAGTTGGGTCAGGGTGGCGAAATTAAAATGCGGTATTATTTCAAGTAACGTGTTCAGTCACCAGTATTAAAAACAGGAATGAATAAAACTACACGCCGGCCCCTAACACAATCTCGAAACAAAGAATTATACAAAAGTTAAAGACTACGCAGAAATAATTAATCAATGTAAACAAAACACACAACGCATGGCGGTCAATCCTTATCACACATAATAATGGGGCCCGGTGACGCGAGCTTCATGAGAATTCTATAATACTCGGCCATCCTGCAACCGCATGGTGTCCACACGATGGCGTCTAACGTGGTCCCTCATTGCTGTTGTCTGGAGCCTGCAACAAAATTAACACACGCAGTATCATAAGGACTAGATGAGTTTATATTACTTATCTATCACATTGTCAGATGAAGAATCACGCAGCTACATGTAAAAGAAAATTTGGTTAAATTGAGTGTGTATTCAGTTTCACACAGCCTCATTGTAACCAATCGTAATCGTCGCTCTAAAGTGATTAGGTGCGGTCGTTATTTCTTCTATCATTTACATTCTGTAGAACTTTTCACACTGTAGAATCTATCCGCACAGCGTAGAATCTATTCACACAGCTTGATTGAACTACTTCACACAGTATGAGTCTATTCACGCATAAGATAGAATCTTTTCACACAGCTTAGATTCATTTCACACAGTTTGATTTAACTACTTCACACAGTAAGAGTCTATTCACGCATAGGGTAGAATCTTTTCACACAGCTTAGATTCATTTCACACAGTTCGATTTAACTACTTCACACAGTATGAGTCTTATCACGCAGAGCGTAGAATCTATTCACACAGCTTAGATTCTATTCACACAGCTTGATTAAACTTCTTCACACAGTATGAGTATATACACACAGTGGTGTCGATTCTAGTATGGTTTATTCACACAGTTAAGACTCTATTTACACAGTATGAGTTTATTCATACAGTACGAGTATATTCACACAGTGTAGAATCTATTCACATAGCATAGATTTCATCAATACACAGTAAAATCTGTTCACATAATACTCGCACCCTGCAAAGTGTAGTTTTTTTTTCTAGACATAAGAATTTATTCCCAATAGACGATTCTGCACACAGCCAGCTGGCTGGCGATAATCTAGCTAGATTTATAATTAAATCTTACAGTCATGGCACATATTCCACCAATACTAGTTATGGTAATTAGGTGATAATCGAGATATCTACCTTAAATCACATTTTTAGAGACAACACAAAGTCTGTTCGCTGCTATTTATTTTAACTTTAGGTATTGATACATAAAATTATAGTACTATATTTGTGGATAATCTAAAGTACCTACTTTTCATTCATATTCAAATCGTAATCTTTTAATTCTAGCTTTCTAACAAATCAATAAGATCATCTCTATCTACTTCATGATCACTATCAGTACTATCATCATCGGATACTGTAGGTTTATAAGGTCGAAGAGCTTCACCTGCAACTATGGCATTAAATTTCCTATAACCTTTCATTCCTTTTATACTAGTAATTGTATAACGGTCTAGAGAGTGGTCAGCTGCACAAATTTTATAAGGCCCTGAGTAAAGTTCTTCAAGTTTTCTCGCAACTTTAGAAGCAGGATCTTTAGTTGTTCCTCCTTTCCATAAAACGAGTTGTCCAACAATATACTTTTTGCATTTCTTATGTTTAACATCGAACTTATTCTTCATTAATGTCATATTACGATCAATACGTAATTTAGCTGTAGCTCTACGTTCCTCTAATTGTTCTTGTTGCGCGCTATAGTTATCGGAATTTTAATTAGGATATGCAGGAAGACGCGAATTGCCATAACCGAACATGAGTTTAAAGGGTGCAATACCTGTAGTTGCATTAGGAGTATTGTTAATACCCCATACAACATCGGACAGTTTTTCATCCCAAACGCATTCACTTTCTGACATTGTATTAAGACCATCAATGAGAGTTCGATTTACTCGCTCAACTTGTCCATTTGATCGTGGACTAGCTATAGCATTCAAAATATGTTTGAACTGCACTTCTTCTGCGAACTGCTTAAAATATCTGCTCGTAAAAGTTTTGCCTCGATCAGTTACGATCCTATGGGGAAACCCAAATAAATTAAAAATATCTTTAAGGAGTCTTACTGTTTCAATAGAACCACAACTTTTTGCAGGTTTGGAAAACACAAATTTGGTAAACGAATCTATAGCTACAAGGATGTAGTTGTATCCTCTCCTTGTCTTAGTAAATGGGCCGACGTGGTCAACGTGCAATGTGTGCATAGGAATAGGTTCCTTGGTAATAGGATGCAATTCTCCTTGCTGCTTGCCATATTCACTTTTTCCATAAGCGCATCGTAAGCAAGAGCTTACGTATTTACGTATAAAACGCGTCATTCCTGGGAACCAGAATTGTTCTTTAATAACTTGCTCACATCTATTAAAACCTGGGCGACCTATTTGATCATGAAATTTCTGTAGCAAGCTAAATTTAGCCGAAATCGGTATAACGAATCTTTCACCTGCCAACGTCTTCCTGTATAAAAGATCGTTCTTGATTACATAGTTATTTGTGATATCGCGGTTAGTCGTATCCGCGCGTAGCTGAGTCATAATACTTTGAATATTATCATCTTGCAGCTGTAAGGTCAGTAACCAATCCGTATCATCAATCAACAATACTGTTTTACCCACCGGATTCCTACTCAAGGCATCCACATGTTTCATTCGTTCGCCTGGACGATATTCTATTTCTAAATCAAAGTCTTGAATAGTAAGCCACCAGCGGGCAATTCGGGGGATTAAATCCTTTTTAAGGAGAGTTGTACGCAACGCGGCACAATCCGTGATTACTTTCACATGTATACCCGTCACATAAATTCTATATTGTTTCAGTGATTCGACTACAGCCAGTGTTTCAAGCTCGTAACTATGATAAAACTGCTCATCTTGATTTGTGACTCTACACAAGTATTCCACGCTACACAAGTATTCCTCCTAAACCTAATTTACTTGCGTCGGTATGTAATTCTGTCTCAGCATTTCGATCATAAATACCTAAAACCGGACGTTCTATTAGTCTTTCTTTTAAGGTTTCAAAGGCTTGTTGCTGTTCTCTTCCCCATCGCCATTCGATGTTCTTTTTAGTTAATTCTGTTAATGGTCGGGCAATTTCAGCAAAGCCTCGAATAAATTTTCGAAAATAGGAAGTCAAACCAATGAATTGTCTTATTTCATGTACATTTCTTGGTACTTTGTACTGAGCGACACAATTTATCTTAGCTTGACCTGGTTGTATCGTCCCTGCTGTAACCTCATATCCTAAATAATTAGTGCTCCTTTTGAGAAATGAACATTTACTTAAGTTTAATTTTAAATTTGCATCTTCGAGCAACTGCAGCACTTTTTCTAATATTACTAATCCTGTTTCTACTGAGATAGATGGAATCATGACATCATCTAAATATAAGGCTATATCTTCGCGAACACTTCGTAATGTCATGCGTATTAATCTAGAGAAAACAGCCGGAGCATTGGCAAGTCCAAAGGGCATTTTCAAAAATTCATACTGCCCCGAAGGTGTCACGAAAGCCGTTTTATGCACAGAATCTGTAGCCATAGGAACCTGGTAATAACCTTGCGCAAGATCAAGGGTAGTAAAGAATGATTTTCCACTTAGACGTGTCACTTGATCTTCAATATGAGGTAATGGAAAACGATCTTTTACGGTTCGTGCATTTAAGGCACGATAGTCAACACAGAGCCGGTAATCACCCCCCTTTTTCTTAACTAACACAACTGGACTAGCGTAATCTGACACAGACTCCTGAATAATACCAGCTTCAATGAGATCTTGAACTTTACTGTTTACAATATCATTTTCTTTGTGCGAGAGACGGTATGGTTTAAAATAAACTGGTCGATCTACCGTTGTTTGTATATGCATTTCCATTAAACTAGTACAACCTAAATCTTTTGTAGAAAAAGCAAATGAATTTATATGTTTATTTAGAGTAAGTAAAAGTCTGTTCAAATGCACATCATCTAGTTGTCCAACATCTATATCAGTTACTGTAAGAACTCTCTTTTTAGATTCATCTATTTGGTTCACTGGTTGAATGAAAGATGATTTGTTAAAATCTCTAACTGATATTAATTCTGCTCTAGCAATTAATTTGTTCGCCTCCCACTCAATAGATTCATCGCCTACATTAATAACTTTTAAGAAGCATTGTCTCGAACTTATAATCACTTGTGGAATAAAATAAGATAGACTCCCTAATTGATAGTAAACAGGTTGAGTCATTAGTGTAACATCGTATTCACTGTGTGAACACTCCACTACAATCTCTACATAAGCATAATCTCGCATTGGTAAAACAGTATCATATTTCAAGTAAATCGGAAACTTTGAAACACAGTCAAAAGAACTTAACTTAATACTTGATAAAAGATTTTCTAAGCCACACGTAGATAAAAATCTCACAGACTTTGCCGTCGTGACTAAGCTAACATTTTCAACATTAATCATTGTTTGCCCGATAATCAATCTATGTCTCCAAAATTATAGTCTGTTATTTCAACTACACCTTTTAATATGATATCATCTACTTCGACATTAATAAATGATGTACCCATTGATTTAATATACGAGTCTCCAAATCCTTTCATAACGACGTTAGATGGACTTATTTTTAAATTTAAAATTGCTGCCTGTGTAGTTGTTATAATGTTTAATTTACTGCCTGTATCTACATAAGCAAGAATTTGATTTCCGTCAACATACACAATTCTTTTATATAAATCCCTATATAAATTATGAGTAATAACCATGACACTACTGACCTTATTTGATTGTTGACGCGATGTCCCTGCAGCAAACCAGCAGTTCGCAGCGACGTGGCCGACGCGCTTGCACACCTCGCAGCGTCGCGGCGAAGCCGTGCAGTCCCTAGCCTCGTGTCCTGGTTTTCGGCACACGTAGCAAATCTTCTGTAGTAGCTGTTTTGTTGTACCCGATGACGTATCTTTGTTCGTTGCTGTTGCAGAATAGTTGTTGTTCCCGTAGGTACCTCTTCTCCAAGTAGACTTCCGTGTGGTACCAGCAGCTTCAACTCGGTTGTAGTTTTCGAGTGATGATAAGTAGCCAAAATATAGGTTTTCAGGCGTATCACATTGGTATGCCTTGGCGTTCGCTTGCAGTTCCTGTGGTAACCCTCTTATGATGCAAGAAATTACCGCTTCTCCATAAATATTGCACTTTTTAAGTAGAGACAATTTCGCGTGGTAGTACTTAGTCATCGTTTCCGATTTCAGTTTCGTTCTTGCTAACATTTCTTCCAGTCTATTTACAAAGTCAGTTAATCGTGGAAAAGCGGTTTGGAGTGCTTGTTTCCATGCTTGCCAAGTCAAATCGTAGTCCTCTAGGTCATCATACCATTCTCGTGCAGAGCCGCGAAGGCGGATTTGCATTATGAATTGGCGATCTTTACTGTTCAAGCCATAAATATCTCCGAGTTGGTCAATCTTATGTAACCAGCTTTTGATGTTGCTTGATTTGTCTTCCGGGCGAAACTTTGGTATTACTTCAGCATCAGTTTGGGTAACTCGTAGTCTCTTGTTGGATTGCGACGTTATGTGTTGTTCTTCACAGAAAAAAATTTCATTGTCTTCTTCCGTCGACGACGATGAAGTCGAATCTCTGCGGTGGCGCTTGCCGAGACCACGAATGTAAGGTCCAGACATTGTCCTTATCCCACTTCTGAAGTGTAACAGAAGTTGGGTCAGGGTGGCGAAATTAAAATGCGGTTATATTTCAAGTAACGTGTTCAGTCACCAGTATTAAAAACAGGAAAGAAAAAAACTACATGCCGGGTCCCTAACACAATCTCGAAACAAAGAATTATACAAAAGTTAAGACTACGCAGAAGTAATTAATTAATGTAAACAAAACACACAACGCATGACGGTCAATCCTTATCACACATAATAATGGGACCCGGTGACGCGAGCTTCGTGAGAACTCTATAACACGATATTTTTTTCGACAGATTGACTGTACTAAAAGTTGCTTAACTTCAACGATCGCAGCCGAACGTGCTAACCACTTGCGCCATCGAGCTCCTAACACACACCATGGCATTTGTAACCGACTTCAAAAAAGGAGGTTCTGTGTTCGACTGTATTTTGTTCCATGTATGTTCACCGATTTCTACGTCAATTGTGGACCGATTTCCAAAATTCTTTTTTTATTCGAAAGAGTGCACTTCCGAGGTGGTCCGATTGGAACCAAATCAGGGGAAATCGAGGGAAAACCTTCAAATTTCAAAGGCACGCACGATGTTTTTTATGCATATTCACCGATTTCTCCGTCTATTCTGTTGAATAGACTGTGCTTGGATGATGTAATTTTCACTAAAATGGATAAAAATTTTTTTTAAACAAAACATAAAACCGACTTTAAAATCGAAAATAGAACTAAAAAGTAAAAAATAATATCTGGTTCATGATTTGGAAGTCGGGCGGGGATAAGATTGAAACATTAAATAGATTTATTTTCGTTTCTGATCGGTAATAATACGTCTTTCAATCTTGACCCGCCCGACTTCCAAATCATGAACCAGATATTATTTTTTACTTTTTAGTTCCATTTTCGATTTTGAAGTTCGTTTTATTTTTTGTCTTTGTAATTTTTGAAGTGAAAACTTCTTTAGCGGCTTTGTACACTTTTTTTGTAATGAGTAAAAAATGTTAAACTCGCGTCAGGACACGTGACCTAATCGAAAATTCGAAAGACGAAAACAATAAAATTGGAAAGGTGTTGACTTTAAATATATTGGACGGAACATAGTAATATATTTTATCGTATTATAATAATAAGTCTGTATCTAGGACGCCCAGGTTGCAGCTTTATTTCGAAGAAAATGCATTTTTTTTACAATAGATGTCGCTAGGTGCACTTAAATGTGATTCATGTAAGTTGATTTTTCTGAGAGATAAACTTTTTAATGTAATATAAATTGACATGTTTGTGTACGATAGTGCAATAAATATTGTATTCTACCACATAAATGATAGTACTTTTACACTGATAATTAAAGCAATTCGTGCAAAATTATTCCCTAACCATTCCAAAATATCAAAATGCACAACGTTAATATTCAAGTTTTCACTTCTGCCGGCACTCCCGGAGTGCAACCCGTCGTTGTTTTTTTTTGCTAGGACGTATATACGGTGCGGTACGCTCGTAATTGCGCTCGACGCAGATTGAGACGAGACGCCTAATTGGGACATATTTGAGTTTTCACAGCGTGCGCGCTTATAATATCTGCTTCTGGGAGGGTTTGTTAAGGTTACCAATTCACTTTAAAAAATCATGAAATAACGTTATTTTATTTTGGAAATATCGATAACGGTGAAATTGTTAACGGTAAACAGCTAACAGAACGTAACCGTATTATAACGGTAATCAAGTAACAACGACATTTTAACGTTAATAATAACGATTCTTTTAAAGATACCATTTACTTCTCCGACGTTATTTTCTCATAGTGTTTTAATGTGTCATAAATTGTAACTTGCTTAGAGCCTTAGAAGCAAGTAATACTTAGTGGTTTTTAGAATTGTATAAATAGAAACGCAATAAATATCGTTACTAATATAGGTAATGAACGTTACGAACGATCCTAACCGGTAAAATTATACAAAAGTACTAACGTTTCATCAAACGTTAAAAAGACTGGTAACAATAAAAGTTTTAACAGATACCTATGTACAATGTTACCGAAGTAACGTTATTTGCTGAGTATCGTTACCCTTGCTCAACAAAAGTAATGTTACCAAATTTTTAACGGTATTCCCAGCCCTGGTTTCTTTTTTATTATTATATCATTGATACCCATGCTTTAAATCCTCTATAAAAGATTCTGAAACAACTTATTGCCAATATTAATACTAGGAATACTAGGTACCAATGTCCTAGTAACCATTATATGTCATGTATCATCCAAACACACTTCCAGTACAGATTTAGCGAAAGAAAGGAATAAAAAATGGCGACGCAAGACATAGGCTCTCTCGTACGTTACTTAGGATAGCGAGAGGATAGCGTGTCTCCATTTGCGATTCCTTCCTTAAATGGCACGAGTTAGACTTATTTTTACAGCTCTGCATAAACACCGTCAACGAAAATAATAAATAACGGTTACAATAATAATTTGTTTAATAGTAAAAGGTACAATTGAATATGCATTAATTTAGTGCTTGTATTACAAATTTGGATAACTTAATAAAATTATGTACAATCTATTATGTACATTTAAATAAATATTAATTTACAATTACAACGAAAACAGTATAGTATTTTTTTTAAAGAGCACATATTATTTTCTATGTTTCAATATGGTTTTTATTACATCTGATTTCTAACTTATTCTACATTAATTATTTAAGACATACATAACCCAGAAAATAAGTTGATTTTAAAGATGAAATCAAAATAATACATTTTGATGCGAGAGCGGATTTGAACTGTGTGGGAAACAATATGTTAGTCAGTGTAAGTGTAGTGTATGGCTTGCGCGGATGAGGGACTTTTGTCGGCGGACTTTCTTGTCTGCAAAAATTGATCGCAAAGCAAATGCACCCAGTAAGTACACATAGCGATCCGTTCAACAGGTCCGTTACTTGTCGACGTATGTAGTCGTTTGAGCGAGTTCACGCACGATACAATAAATAAATAAACATTTCCAAAACACACACCAATTAGCCTAGCCCCAAAATAAGCACCGATAGAATACATGTACAGTACATATATAAGTATATTTATATAGAAATACATATTAAACATCCATGACTGCTCCATGAGTACAAATACCTACTCGTGTTCATCACACAAACATCTGCCGCCACCGGGATTCGAACCCGGGACCTCTCGAGTCGGCGACACCATGAAACCCAGCGTACGAACCACTCGGCCACGGAGGTCGTCGTACAGTATTTTGGATCCAGTACTAAATACTCATGTGAGAAAATATGCAGCACTCCGTTTTACTGGGCCGTTGTAACGTATACACTATTGGCGTATGTAGTTTACACATATGGCAGTATTCCGGTACCAGTAAAAAAATCCACGCACAACGGAAATACTGATCCGTATTATCAGATCGAAACCGTGTGAGGCTTGGCACGGGACCGGGCGGGGGTGCGCGATATGCGGTGTGCAGCACACAGGCGCCAATGTGAAAATTACATCCAGTAGCGACACATCTGGGAACTACTGAGTATGCGCACTAAACGCACACAAGGAATTAAAAGTCCAGCTTACGTACAAAAAGTTCTCCGTACCGCCTAAGAACGCCGAGAAACCAGACAGGACAAAACTACGCGGTAGTCCCGGAAATATAGAACTCGCGTGACTGCAGGCGCAGAACGCACACAGCGAACTTTATTCTGCGTTGCGCGCTCGATCCAATATAAAAGAATGGACCCATTTTTGTTTCTTTTCTTTAAGTTCATTTTAATTACAACGTAACATAATTACAATTCTGATAATTGTAAATTTTATACTTTATAAGAAAATTCAATTAAGAGTTCCGATGCAGTGGTTCGATTTCCAGTGTAGAGTGTATATTTGTCTAAAACTACATACAAACTGCCAATGACTTAGTATCATAGAGCAATGCCCACAGAACAGAGAAAGAGGTTAGAATGGCCTTGTGGGCGGGGCAGGCGCGTCCCAGTTATGAGCAAATGCTCATAACCTAACCGTTACGCGCGATCGCGTCGTTTAGTTGCTCGCGCACATTCAGTGAGAGAGTATTGTGATTATCGCTAAAGATATGCCTTCGTGTGCTGTAATTATTTGCAAAGCAAGGAGTCAAACATCAAATCTACCTAAAGCAGGAATTTCTTTTCATCGGTATGTATAAAACTTCTTAGTTAGACTGATATTTTAGTAAAAATTCGTGAAATACTAATTATACGATAAATCACATATATATTTTCATAAAAATATTCATTGCTGACAAAGTACGCTCGTCATTCTTTCGACGACGTTCAAAACACGTAATGTAGTAAGGTTCGAGCAAGAATGACGCATGGACTACAAAGCGCTGCACGTGGCCGCATGCAGTACAAGGTCATTGCACACAGTAGGTACAAACTACCACAACTTTAGTGGTGTCTTGCGTCGTACACTTTACATTGTCGATAGATTTTATCGATGGAATTTTAGCACCTAATAATGGAATTAAAGTAACTTTTATAAATAAATAAAAGCTGATTGTAAATGTATATACAATATAAATATAAAGCTAAATAGTTTGTTTGTTTAATTGGTTGAAAGCGCTTTTATCAGGAACTACTGATGCGATTTAAAAAATCTTTTTGTGTTGGGTAGTGCATTTATTGAGGAAGGCTATAGATTAATAAAACATAATAATACGGCTAAGAGGAGCGGAGCACCAATAAAAAAATATGGAAAAGACCCATTTGAGAGAATCCGTTGTGTACGCTGCGTAAACAGTAAAAGTTACACAAAAATCATATATACCGGAATTGTTCTTCTTTAAAAGTTTTATAAAAAAGCCCGCTACAGCTAATGCTTATGTACTTTTTAAGGGTGACCCTCTATTACCGAACTAAATTTTACTGATTTCAGTAAACAAGTCATTGGATACATAGCAGGCAATGTTGTTCATGTCCTAATAAAAAAAACAAATGTGATATTTGCACTGGAGCCCTAATATCACATACAAGTAA